GTAATTTTCTATCAGTATGAGGTGGAAACATTCGGAGGTAGCTCAAGTGGTAACACATTTTAGGAACAGTGACAGTTCTCGACGTTACTTTCTCACGATAATCATTAGGAAGCAAACTATTCATGATTCTTGCTTCATGGAAAGCGCAAAAAATAAAGTACCGAAGCGGATAGCAAACGGCGGCAAACCGATTGCAGGCTATATATGAGCGGACAATATGTTCACAGCTGAATACAAAGAGGTATATTAAAATCAAATGAAAACACTGTATCCGAGGCATTCTGGAGTTATGCGATAAAATAAGCGCAGCATCAACACCCTCCATTATGCACGAAATCTAAAATTCGTCTTATCGAATCTTTTTTATGCTCAAAACAAAAGCTAGCATGGAATTTGGCTAGAATTCAGCTCTGGTACGAATGGAGTAAAATGTCTGGATGTTTCAGAAGTACGCTAATTACATCAAAGCAACCCAAACTAATACGAAAAGATGACAAATTGCACTTTTCCTAGCTCTGTTTCAGAAGTAAGAAGCATTATTGGTTTTATTGGTGTTAAATAATCATGACAATCCAACGGTTTTCGCGTGGTTTGCCTGTCACATACATTTCAGGAAAATAGCCTAACACTCCAGTCAATCCACAACTTTTTGCAGATATCCAGAACAGAAGATCTCGGCATAACTACGGTCAGTTAGTAATTTTCTCTTAGTTAGGCTGAGGATCCCAAGTCAGATAAAAAGCAATTTCACATTTGTCTTGAAAAAATGAAGAAACAACTGTAAATAGCTGGTCTTTGTTTCCTAATAACCATGCAGGTAGTCACACTTTCCGGCATTATTGCAACCACGCGAGGAAGTAAAACCCAGTTAGTGAGTTCTGCTACTCGCCTTGCCGACAATCGGTGGACATCGCGAATTCACGGCAGGAGTGTAAATGACCGTGAAAAAAGTTCAGCGTCTGGACCGATGGAATGCTTCAATGCAACAGCAGCTTATTAAAGCACAAACTATTACCAGATCGAAAACAGCAATGATGGCGATCAGCATGGTATTATGACTATGCAAATTTCGTTGATGCGTCGTAGCAATGATGACATTGATATTGCCGAATATACCCAGTATTATCAGTGGAATCATTAGATATGCAAAAACATCCAGCTCTTCCATTTATTTTTTGGCAAAACACTATCTGCTATTCAGTCTAAGAATATGGCGGTCACCGGGAAACTGAGTATTGTGATCCCATGCTAGTAACATCGCCAGGCTGTTTTCACATATCGGCTGTGCGCATCAGGCCTTTCGATCCTGAGTTGCGTGCCTTCAGTTAGTATCCATCGCCTATCCGATGAATTTACGCTTTTAAATCAAGAGTTGTGTAACATCCAACAAGATTTTTGAATTCGGAATAAGGTAATGTTTAAATTCGAATCTGGAGTACTGGTTGCGAGTTTTATTGATTTTAAAAGTTGATGCATTTTTTGCAGTCTTAGAATCCCACGCTAATATTTCACTTGCTTCTTGAAATTAGTCCCCTTAATACAGTTCTGGATAAAACTGCATTAAAATAGCTTCCGAAGAGCTGCAGCAGAGAAATAACCAACACACATGTGGATCCGAAATCTTATCCATCCACTTCGAAAAGAAGAAAACGAAAAAGAAACGAATCCTGAAAGAATATCTTTTCCACAGCTTTTCGGTTCGGATGAGCAGTTTATGGTCGGTGTTAGCATATAGTGTATGATTGTCTGTGCTTGTGTGTGTGTGTGTGTCTGTCTGTGTCTGTTAAGTGCAACAGGTATGTGTGGTGTGTTTGTGTGTGTGTTTTTGCGAAAATCAGGGCTAATGATAAATCAGTTAATAGCAGTACGTCGTACCTAGTGTTTTTATCACCTGATGCATCATGATAAATGGCTATGCCCGCGTTGCTGAGTGTAACTGCATGTTTCAGATAATGTGCTAGTTATGTTCAGAATAACTGGCTTTACAGACCAAACTTGAAAAAATTTCAGTTTCCTAGTTTGACTGATATCCACAATGGCTTCTTGCCAAAAAATGCGTAAATGACCTTGAAAAAAAGAACTGAGTATTTC